CCCCCCCCCTCACATCGTACGCCCTAACCCACCTGTCTGCACGTCCCACTCGCCCAATTCTATGAATATAATTCTGTTTATCATCAGGAAACGTCACATTTACAACTGCAAAGTATGTAACAAAAGCAAAATATGTTAATCACTCTCATATATGTATTTTGAGACACACTTGTGTATTAAGCTTAGTGAAGCTAAGTGGTTTATTGTGTTGGAGTTTATCGAGTTCCTCACTCATTGGTGATCGGATTTCCCAACACGCTTTTGTCCATTTGATAGGGGATCCGAGGTATTGTAGCTAAGGCGAGACTTTTTTATTTATTGGTTTACAAATTTGACTTTAAAAAAACAGGTCGGAAAAAAAATTTAAAAAACACACTGAGCATATTTAAAATCGATGCTTTTATCTTCTAAACATTAAACTTCTACTTGGAAAACATGGCTAATCTCCATATGGATTGTCACAACGATAACATGAGCCAGCAGTACTTAGAAGCAAAGTTTACATGGCGTGTACTTCATGTCAGAACCACCAAATTAACTGAATTTAACTAAAAGCGTAAAATTGTTGACATCCCAAATTTTTTTATTTTTTACTTTCTGAATATGTACGGTCGGCGGATCCGTAAACCAAAGAATTAAAAAAAGTCTCGCTTAAAGTGCAATAAACAACGTAAAGTCTATTGATAGAACTAGAGCGAGATGGCCAAAAATCTCGATATTTATTTTTGTATAAGTTATTTTTGTTTAGTTTATCAGAACAAATTAAAAAAGTAACTCACCAAAAGGAATGCTTTGAACATCAATTCCTCTTGCAGCCACATCAGTACATATTAAAAATCTTACTTCACCTTCCTGAAATGAACAGTATTATTATATGGATTTTCAAAATTCTCTATTGTGATTGGTTGACAAGCGGTCCGTAAAGACCCATATCCGGACCATATTTTGACCGGATGTCGTTTATCTGGCGGGACATTTTTGCTTTGCAAACAGAAAAATCTTTTGCTTTTTAATTTTCCAATTGTGTGTCATTAAAGGCGATTTAATTCGCGCGAAAAGCATATGCTCACAGACTCAGTTCAGCCAAATAATAAACCGATTATTGACCTCGCTTGTTCGGTCTGCACTGTGAAATATCAGACCTCTGTTTTTTTGCATGGACCTCGCTCTTTCGTCGCTCGGTCCATACTAAAAAAACTCGGTCTGATATTTCACAGTACAGACCGAACAAGCGAGATCAATAAGCCGTTAATATTACAGTCTATTGTCTTTTATTAGGAATTACCGCGGAAAAACTCTTTTGGAGAAAGGTAGTGGGGAATAAAAATAATGGGAAAGTATAAATAAGTATTTTTACCTTGAATTTCGTAAGGTTTTCACGTCGTTCATGTACGGATCTGTCGCTATGGAGACAGACACATGAAAACTCGTTCACCATCGCTCGATTACCTGGAGAACGAAATCGCATACAATCACCAGAGAGCTTTAAAGAGATATGGTAATAAAAAATTACTTCTTCATTTAAAATTATATGGAAAAGTTTTTAACAGCTTCTTCAAATATTGCTTAGTTATCGAAATATTTTGACAAAAATCATCACAAATCAGTGATCTGTCCGCTATCTTGTATCCCAAAGGTCACGGGTTCGACTCCCAGCGTGGTCAGGCAAACTTTTCAGCTTGTCCAGTGTGGATGCACACTCACAGTAACATCACAAACATCAAAATTCAAGTTTGTTGTCTTGTTTTTAAAAATAACTCAGTGCTTAAGTTTCAGGGCTGCAAATAAATATTTGACTTGACAGGACATTTGTCCGATCACTTTTAATTTTGGTCGGACATAACTTGAATTTGGTCGGACAAAAATCAACATCACTAAATTTGGTCGGACATACATACGTCACAAGATATATATAAGTCACAAGATAAGTATGTATGCCATTCCGACGCAATGTTAAGTAAAATTAAATGCTAGAACGCCTCGTAAATTTTATTGCAAAATACAAATTGAGTGAATTTGCAATCGGATTTTGTCACAGCAAAAAAATGTATAATGTGACTTTTTATTGCGATCGAACCAATGTCCGATCAAAATTACTTTTGCTCGGACATTTGCCAAATTTAGTCGGACATTGTCCGATGTCCGACAGTAATTTGCAGCCCTGAGTTTGGAAACAAACCTTAAGTTTACAAGATGTTAATATTTGAAGTGTGTTTTATCCAGTATAAATGAAGTTAGTTTAGGTTTCCCCCAATGGTAACACTGGATAAAGCTCTTTTGCACTCATCGCAAGAGTCAACTCGCAAGTTTGCTGCGAGTGCTTTCATCCAAGATGCAAGGAATGCCTCTTACTGCACTGGATCTCTTATAGGGAAAACAGTTTAAACTAATAAAGCTACAGTATAAGCTCTGGTATAGATATATTTAGTAAGATGAAACACAAACCTCCTCCAAGAGTCAATAAATAATTTTCAATATTATCACAGTCTAACTTCGTCCTACAGAAAATAATTGCTTGATCCATTCTATGTTGTCTGATCGCCTTTACTAGATATTCCGCTTTTAAAATCTTTGTAGCCTCTGAAAACATTTCTGGAGCAACGAAATAGAACCCATTCAATTTATTTCTTAATATCGTGCATGCATGAATACTGGCATTGCATTGGCGATAAAGCCGCGTTTTCGTGTGTGACATTAGTTAAATTCTAATCTCTCAATCACGAAAGCAAGTCTTTATAGCCAAGGTGACGTATTTTCCGGGAGGGTGTATTGCACGAGCCTTATTCCACCGAATTTAAAGAAGAGGATGGAGCTTAGCCAGAGCACCAAACTGACCAAAGGTTCAAACTAACAAAACAAGCACAAATGTAACATTCGCCTTTTCCAAAAATAGATTTGATGGTGCGATTACCACCCTCATCTACATTGCATCTGTAACAGGGTCATAGCTAGAGGGCCGTGTTGGCCGTGTTATCGCGGCCAAAAATGGAAAAACACGGCTAGATAAAATGAACGCGGCTTCATTATTTATATAAGGCTGTGTAGGTACATAAAATAAGATGGTGCTACTTACAACAGACAGAATTTCTTTCTATTTACGTCATAAGAAAGTTTGTAAAATCTATTGTTGTTGTTGAAATTGGCAAAAGTGATGCGTGATATTGTAATGTTTTGATGGACAATGGGAACCGAAAGGTGTTAAAGTGGTTTTAAATACACCCAAGAGTTGCTGAAATAACTTAATATTTTAATGTCAGTGCGCAATATGAGTATATGCTCGCCTTGTATTTGGTTGCAAAGCATAGAACAACCACAGGCATTGTCCGTTGTTGTAGAACCATGAATTTGGCTATTCAAGGTAATTGACATGTACACACCCTGGTCACTTAGAAACACGCCCAAGATCTAAAATCCTAGCTAAGACCCTGATCTGTAAGTGTATTTCAGTTACCTCGACTAGTATGAGACGGACTTAATTTATCCTTATTATGAATACCGTCTGTCTAAAAACAAAAACAAAACAAAAACAAAATTATCTCTTTACGTAAATGGTGCGGTTCAAATTAACTTAGTGCATGGCATTGCAATTTCTAGTTTAGTTACATATATTACATATATTATTTAGCTCACTACCCAGCGAGGCTTTTCAGTGACCGATTACATCAAGTATTACGCTTATTTGTATTGCCTACTTAGCCTAGACTATCTTTATAACAATTGTGATATTACTTTTCTAACTGTGTTTATCCTAACCATAGAAATAATAGATATAGAATGCGTACTCCTATCTTTTCTCAGTGAAAAATTTGTCTCCACAAAATGGCGGATTTATAAGGGCATTTTGGTTCCCAGACTCCCAGGCGGCA